AAGCATCGAAGTCATATTGTATTCCATAGATTCAGAGATGTTTGATGGAAATTATTTGCCTATGCATTAATTAAAGCAGAATCTTGTAGTAAAAGAGTTAATCATGCCAGAAAAGCTTGTGTGCTTTGGAGGCTTATATGTTTAACAGATTTTTGTACCAAATGTGGGACATATCTTGCAGAAAAGCTGGACAGTATGACGGAATTGCTAAAAATGTGTGGTATGGCATGTTACTTTATATAGAAGGACATGACTCGGTTTCATGGATGTCAGAAGAAGAGAAAAATGGAGGTGGTCCTAAGGGTAGCCTGAGGTAGTTTTTACTATGCAATAGTGCAGCACTGTCTAGGTTTGTAACTTCATATAGTCTTAAGGAAAGTAATGTTTTCTCCCCACTGGTAGATTGCAGAAATGTAAAGATCTCACTTCTGAGTCTGATGAACTCAGACAGGAAGACAGGCAGGTGTCATTGACCCAGGATGGCCCGTACTACCTCACCCTTTCTGCAGAGACCCGTGCCTGGTTGTCCTGAACGCGTCAGGTTGTGCGTGGCAAGTTCTGCCTGTTGGCTAGGCGGTGCCTGGCCGAGGTGGCCCCGCGTGCGCGGTGCTGCGCTCCGGGCCACAGCGCGGGCCGAGGATCCCTGTGAAGGCTGAGGGTGGCAGCAGGCTTGGTCATGCTTTTCAGCTTCGGAACATGTTCTTCTTCATTACAGTAATAACAACTTGTTCCGTGGAGAATGTAAAATTGGTCAGTATGTAACACTGTGCTTGGTTTTTCTAGGAATGCGTGCGTAAGGAAGACTTGTGTCAGAATTTTCTTTCATGTGTGTGGGAAATGGGGCTGAAGGTTAGAAAATGATGCTCATGGTAAAGGGAAAAGCTTTTAGAGGCTTCCAGTGTAGATTTTTGCAGCGTGTGCTATCTCAGAAATGCTTAAGGATTGCTCCTTAAACCTTACACTGCACTACAGTGGAACACACTTGTCTAACAAGACGCCTAAAACCTTATGTAGGGGGCATAAGGCTGCCTTTGTCCTGGGACATGGGTGTTATAGTATGAGGCTGAAAGCTTTACAGAAATTATTAAAATGAAACCCAAGCTGAAAGGCTGAAAAACGCAGCTCTGAGCAATGCACCCACGTGCACGTTTTGTTTCCTGCAGGGCTGAATAGCTGGGTGAATGCAGCGTTCATGTGGCTGTGCAACTGCTCATTCTGAGTTTCAACTCCTCCTTTTAAGCAAACACAGGAATAATACAGATAAGCTCTTCTAGTCATAGAGGATGAGCTCACTGAATTGGAGCAAAGGAAAAATGTGAAATTTCCTGTGTGAAATTTCCAACCAGCAGATCTTAACTTTAAATTGAAAAGTAGTCAGAAGTACTCATTAGCAAACCACTCAGCACAAAGATACAAAGAAATTTAAAGGAAGGAATGACTGCCCATTAATGAATATGAGCCAAATTTTAATTAACGCTGACATCATGTGTTTCTGATGTTCGAGTTTGAAGGCCTGGAATAGTTACACCACTTGTTTTTTTTTTTTAAAACAAACAAACAAACCAAAACAGGAATGTATCTGTTGGTTATACGCTGACTACCATAATCTCCTGAAAGTTGGCCAAGGAAGATAAACTTTTTCATTACTTGCTGAATTTTGGTGATAAAATGTCTCATAATAATTACCTGAAGTTAGATGTTCTCGACAATTACGCCTTCAGGAATGGAAGATTTGAAAATATGCAATCATATGTTATGTTTTACAGTTTTGTTTTACTCTGCAGTTTAGTTATTAAATCAAAATGTAAGCTTTAATTCAGTGGTATGTCAGCTGCTATTGTTTGCTGCTGTTTGACAGTAAACTGGTCCTTATTACCTTGCATGCACCACTGTTCAGCCCTGCACTAAACAAACTGTCAGCATTGTACAAAACCAGCAGTGTTTGTGTCTTGTGGCTAAAGCACATCCTTCTTACTTCTCTTGCAGGCACAGGAGAGAGTGGCAAAAGCACGTTCATCAAGCAGATGAGAATCATCCATGGATCAGGTTACTCCGATGAAGACAAAAGGGGCTTTACAAAACTGGTGTACCAGAATATATTTACAGCAATGCAGGCCATGATCAGAGCCATGGATACCCTCAAAATCCTATACAAGTATGAACATAACAAGGTGAGATTTTTGTTTATTTCTGTAGCCAAAGCTTTCCTCTTTTTATTCTAGGATACTGAAAGTCTCAAAAAAATCACACCAAGGAAATTATACCATAAGTTCAGATGAAAAGGGCATCCTGCCTTTATTTCTCTGCCCTTTTTGCTGCTTTGACAACACAAAGGTGCTGCTTTTAAGAAGAGAGCTGCTCCTAATGATGCCTGGGGCATTTGTCACAGCACAGAGGTTTAATGCCAGGCTGCTGTTTGACTCTGACTTTACTTAACCCTTGGTTTTCCTCCCAGGCCATGCTCTGGTCAGAGCAGAGTTAAGTAATTCTTCTGATCTTTAGCAGAACCTTACTGCTCAAGGTTTGCCAGTGACATTACATGTTGAAAAAAATTCAAATTACTAGGAAATAGGTGGGGGTACCTCTTTGTGTGTGTTGTTCTTCTGTGTCTGAACATCTGTCAAATTTTATTTCACAGTTAAGACATTTTAAAAAGAAAATAAGTAAAATCATTTCAGCATTCTGTGAAGAGGCGTGAAATGCTTCGTATTTACTTGAATACATGGCAAGGCATAGAATTACATGTCTGTGTCACGCCTTTCTTGTTGCAGGAGTGGTACAACTTTCTTTGATAACAGTTCTTGAGAATTCGTCCTGATTTTTACTGTTTAGACATTATCAGCAACTTTGGACAGAGAGTTTAAGATCTTTTGCAAGTGGAAGGCTTACCTTTCTTTCAGTCTTGTGAGTGTTTAGTGATAGTTTAGTAAACCTGGATGAAAATAATGATTTCCCTGATCAGTTACTCAAAAATTCTTTTATTCTAATATTTCTTTTTTTTTTAAATATCAGAAACTTTCAGAGAACATGGACACTTATGATAAAGAAGTAAGCTTCCGTTAACTGGGGGAGACAGAATAAAATAAATCTGTGTTAAGATCAAAATCACTGTGTCTGCATGTACAAAGTTTAGTTATTAAATTTAACTGCTGTGTATGTTTTAAGGCATCTAATTTAGAAGTAGGAAAGATAAAGCTTACTGGCAGGTTAAAGAAGCTTGGTTTCTCCACTTGCATCTCCCAGAGTCATTGCAGATCGTCATCACTTTGTTAGTCATGTGATGCTGCAATAACTAGAGTCTTGAAGGACCCTGGGCTTATGTAGTGGAAAGTCAGGAGGATCCTCTCTGTCAAAATCTATGTTGTTAAACTTCTTGAATGATGGGTGCATGGGACAAAGTTTGAAAACCCTGTCCTAGTTAGTAAAAGAGACTGTAGAACAACTTGGTCTGATTGAGTGCTTTCTAGTTTCCCTTCATCCCTTATGAATCAAGTTCAAACGTGTAATTAGTATTAAAAAGAAAAATACGTTTATATGTGTATTTCAGCCTTTTGGCTCCACGTTTTTCCGGTGTGCAAAGCATGCAGCTTACTGACCTGAAAAGTTAGTTGATTGAAAAGTGAACTCATTTTTTTTCTCCAGAATTGGATCATCACTTTGCGTTAGTATCTGGAAGCCCTAATTGTAAATCAGGATTTTTTTTTTTCCCTGGTATTATGCTACAGCCTATATACGCTGTAGGTATCATTTGAGCCTGCTGAATTTATATAGTTGGAGTGAGTCAGTTAGGTTTGGCACAGCTGTGCACACATAGGCAGAACTGTTCACTTTCTCTATATAAAAATAGCTTCCCTGAGAGTGGGAGTCTGTCTTTGCGCTCAACTCCCTCACAAGCATTTTCATCAGTTTTTGTAACAGGGCAAACGCACAGTAAAATAGAACTGACAGGATCTCAAGGCAATTCCTGTACGAATTCCTGTGGAAAGACAAGGGAAACCAAACAATACAGCATCGTGCCAGGGTAGAGAAGATTGTGATCTGCTACACTTAACACTTTCTGTACAAGGTCACTTAATTTTAAAGCAGTGTACACCCATCAGTTGGTTAATCTGCTCCTTTTTTTAAAGGTTGTTGAAAACAAACTCATTAGCCTAGCAGTCTAGAAAACACAGGAAGGGCACTTCCTATTAATTTGAATCTCCTACCAGGAAGTCCTATCTCTGGAGAGAATATCTCAAAGTTTGAGTAACAACGTATTTTTAGCATGGTAGCTGTTTTGCACAACAGTTTAGAAAAATGCAGTGCAGTTTATTGACATGGTTGGACCTAAAGAAAAGTGACCCTTTTTTGTCAAATTCTTCATGTTCTGTGATAGACTTTGGGGCTATAGTAGAAATGCTTTTCTCTTACTGTACCAATTTTCTTACCTTAACTGGGAATTAATAACACTGAAGTGTTTCAGATCTCTAAATGCTGCTGGATTTTGAAGTACTCTCATATCAGAAAGTTAAGTAGTCCCTTGCGATCTTTTGTGTGGTGTACAACATCACAACAACATACAGTCAACGTAGCAAGAGGCAAGTTTTAGGTTTAGCAATTTACTTCTTGTGGACTTGTGTTGGTTTCAGTCACCAGTGTAACTGGAGAGGCAGAGACTGAAACGTATTGTCCTGTATTATAATAATCTAGGCTTTTTTGAAGGTTTAATTTCGGAGTAGTGAAAGTCAGTTGAGAAATGTAACCATCAGTGTTCAGAGAGCAGTGTCTCAGAGCTGGTGGTAGAGTATTACAATATGAAAGACATTTATTTTTCGGGTTAAGTTGCAGCGTATGAGCTCAGCTGAGGTGTAAGATAATGGGTGTGAGGGTGATGTCTTCTCTTAGGAATTTGTCTGTCATAGGAAATGGTGGCTTATGGACTGGTTTTAGTTTCCGTTTGGGCAAATATTATTGAGCTTCCGTTACTTATTGTTTAACTAGAAGTTGTGAATTTTTTGTATGGCTCTTGAATTTTAGAGTAAGAAGTATTTTATGAAATATGAGAAAGAAATTTGTTTCTCCATTTTATAAAAACTCTCCTGGTTTTTATAGAAATGTTCATAAGCAATTCTCAAAATTGTCTGTCTCTGCAAAATGTTGTAAGTGTACAGTACTAACTTATGTACAGCCTCAGATATTCAAATGCACATTTTTAAAAACTAAAATACAGGTTTATATTTTATACGATTTGTCTTTTTAGAAAACTGAACCGAGTATCCATGCCTCCTGTCATTCCTTTCAAATTCTGAAATTAATAAGACCATTCATTTTGATCTTCTGAATTCTGATATTCCCAGTGTTCATAATAGCTTAGAAGCCTTCCCTTCAGATAGTGAACATTTCTCCTTTTTTATATATTCTTTTTTAAAACATGTTTAATATTGCTGAAGATGGGGAATATACATGGGGGTATATATGTGTATGTATGTATGTGTATATGTATATATACATGGGTGCTGTTCCCTTTCAGTGTAACTTCCAAATGACAAGTTGCCTCAGCTCTAGCAGGCTATCAGGAAGGTGTCACTCTGGGGTCATTAACAGGCAGGAAATCTTGTTTGAATCCCATGCCCATAACTTCCTGTGAGATTTCTTAAATATTCATAACAAGATAACTAATGTGAGTAACAATAGCAAAACAGGCTACAAGAAAGTTTTTTGGTTTTTTTTTAAAGGCGGAAAACATAAAAGCAAGTTTTATTGTAAACCTGGAGATTTGCTGTTAAGTTTTTGAAGTGTTTTCTGCTGAAGTTGTTTCTGTATTTATGCCTATTCTCTTTGGGGCATGTTTTATAGTAAAAATAGATATGGGAAATGCTTTCAACATCCAAAATCTTGTTGGCATTGTCTTCAAGTCCACGTTTACCTTGTTAACTCATTTCTTCTAAGTGCACTGGAGCAAACAAATGAAAACACAGAAGTAGGATGACAGGAGCAGGTATGGAGTCAGGTTGCGTAATTTTTTATCTTGGATAAACAGTTAAGGGTGTTAAGTGTTTAGATCTCTTTGGTGGGATTCGATGTTGAACAAACCTAGGTTGGAGGAAAGGGCCTCCTGCAGACACCTCGCTGGATTTGCAGTAAGTGTGAAGGACTGAATCCAGAGCAGGAGTGTGCATACACTGGGAGGGTTCTTCACTGTCAGATGATGCAGAATGTGTGGGATTTCTGGCTTTTGGGGGGGCATGTTTTTGGTTGTGGCTTTGGTTGTTGTTGGGTTTGGGGTTGGGTTTGTTTGTTTGTTTGTTTTTTAAGCAAGAATGATATTCTGGGGATGGTGAAATTAAAGGCTTACTGGTTTGGAACAGGGATAATCAAGTAGCTCTTCAAGGAGATGCAGCAACCCGAACTGTGCCATCTCCACAGAGTATTCTGCAGCATCTCAAACCTGGAGCAGAGACTTTCAGCAGGTTAAAGGAAGAAATGTTAGATGAATAGTGTTAGTATTTAATGTATCATAGTGCTCAGTTAGTAGTTACATTTTCTCAGGTGTTTTTCTCCAGGAACTCAAAAGCAAAGCAAAGTAACCTAATAAATAGGAGCCTTGCAGAAGAGTTAAATGCTTTTAATACTAGGAAGCTCCAGATGCAGTATTTTGGCAAGGAATGGATTGCTGCAGAGCTGGCCAACATGGCAGAGAGTATCATTAGAATTAAAGTAGCATAGTCCTTTAACAACATGTATTCAGATACAGTCACTGAAGATAGCTTTTTGGTTTTTGTGGGTTTTTTTAGGAGCCACAGTGTAAGGTAAAACCCATTTCCTTGATAGCTGTGTTTTCTCCTGTGAGGACACTGATCACTAAGCTTTAGGGGCTCTGAACAGCCATGAACAATTTCCTCCTTAGCCCTTTGTAGACAGTCCTTC